ATTTTCTGTTTCTTGAAGTAGAAAGTCCCACTAATTACTTATACAAAAAAAATATGCTGCTTTTCATAGAGTCTTTTGTGTATTAGAATAAGTTATACTCCAACTTTGTAAAATTTAACTTATTTGATGCCCAAACCAGATCTCCTTTTTTTCAAATTATATTTCATCTAGATGTTAGAATTTCCATGATGTCTGTGAGACAGCTGTGCTTGGAGAGGCAACACAGTTTTGAAGTATACTTGGGCTATAAAGTATAAGGGAAAACATCGTAGACTACTTAACAAAAAATATATATACATTTTTAACAAGTTTATTGGAGTATAAATAATAATCAACACAATGGTGTGTTAGTTTCTGCTGTATAACGAAGTGAATCAGCTACACGTATACATATAGCCCCATATCTCCTCCCTCTTGCATCTCCCTCCCACCCTCCCTATTCCACCCCTCTAGGTGGTCACAAAACACCGAGCTGATCTCCCTGTGCTATGAGGCTGCTTCCCACTAGCTATCTATAACAAAATATTTTAACTGCCATTAAAACTGCAGTATAGCACAGGCCAGGTTCCATTCATTTTTTAAAATATTTTATTACCTGTCATTGAGATCCATGTGGGGAAAGTAGTTTCATACCATGATTTGCTTCTGTATGTCTAAAATGTTTTTAATGAGGGATTTCATTTCACAGGAATTTATATTAATCATATAAAATTAATTGTATAAATAGTAAAAAAAAATTTTTTCATGGTTCAAAGCTCACCTAATACATGAAGCCTTGCCTGATTCTCCCTAATGATATTTCTTCCTCCACTAAAGTCTCAGTTATCTTTGTAGTTATGGAATTTAAGAAACTTATTTATTCCACTTTATATTATAAGGACATGTGGAATTTTCTAATTTTCATGAATAGATTGAGAATGTCAGCTTCTATAAGTTAGAATCACGGAGTCTTACATATCTTCATATCCTCTCTGCCCCATGTCCAACAATTCCTCGAAAATAGTAGGCAATCTACATGTTTATCTGAATTCACCAAAAAAACTTTTTGGGGATACTAAAATCTACCTTCTCCAAAGGGTCTCTAGAAAAACAACTTATGTTTTGGTAATTAAGAGTGTTATTTTGAAGCTCTATGGAACCCACACTAACTGACCAAATATGTTTTCGTTATAAATAATATTTCAATATATAGCCATTAAAAATGAAAATAATGAGACTTTCCTATTAGGTACAATAGTTACAATGTTTTAATCGATGCATGTCTTTCAAAAAATCAACTGAAATCATTATACTTTGCCTTGCTAATGTACTGAGTGTCAAAAATAATCTAAATTAACAGATTTTTTTTTTATGGGTAACTCTAAGAAATATAAGAAAAACATTTTTTTTCACAGTGAGAAAAAAATAACTGTGTGTTGATAATGTAAGATGGAAAACAGAACTAAATGAAGAGATTTACTCATAAGACAGCATTTGCAGAAGACCACTTATTATTCATGTATCCATCTAGAAATCATTGACTGGGCACCTATGTCACATCATATATGTCTGTGCAGAGGCTGTAAAGGTAAAGAAGGTGGAGTCTCCACCTTCCAGGAACTCACACTATAGTGAAGTCATAAAAGACAACACAAGTAGTAAAAGGACTCTGGGGTTATCTCTGGCTGGGAAAGCAGGGAAAAGAGTTCACAACGAAGGTGACACTTGAACAGGGCTTTGAGTTTAAGCTTTATTCTGTAGATTTCAAGGCATTTGGGGGCCTGAACTAAAAACAAAACAACAACAAAAAACCCTGCTGTTCTTTTTCAGAAAGGGATTTGGGAAAGAAGCTGCTTGTCTAATAACAGTCAAGTGGACAGATGAGGATGGAGTATGAGGAATCAGATTTGGAAGATATTTGAATCAAGAAGAACATCAACATCAAGAATCAACAGGACTTGATGACAGATTTGATAAAGGGGGGCTGAGAAGAATGAGTCAAATGACATTTTTAGGCCTTTAATTTGCCAAGACAGATGATGACATTCCATGAAATCTAGATTATCAGTTAACAGCTGTTTATTGAGCACCTTCTATGTTCCAGACATTATTCTAGACCCACAGTCTATTTTCACTGTAGTCAGGAGAGGCAGACAGTAAACAAGTGGATAATCTGAAATAGTGATAACCGTGATGGAGAAAATAAAACAGGGTTACGTGAGAGTGACTGGGGGAAGAGACACTTTAGCTGAGGTCCTCACGAAGACTGACACTTGAACTAAGACCTTAATGGTAAGGGGGCAGGCAAGTGAGGCTCCAGTAAAGAAGGGGTAGCAAACGAAAAGGCTGAGCTAGGAAAGAGCTTAACATGATCAAGGGACAGAAAGGCAGCTGGTGGACGGGGATGGGGTTTGGGGTATGAAGAGAAATGAAGTCTGAGAGCACATGGAGCACCCTGTAGCCCACTGTAAAGAGCTTAGCAGTGATTCCAGTTACAGTGGGCAGCCAGCATGTTTGAAGCCAAGGAGTGATGTGATCTGATTCAATTTCTGCGAGCTGTGAAGAGAACGGACTTAAGGGGGAAGAATGGAGGCAGAGAGTCTGGGCGAAAGTGGTGGCTTAAATTCCTAGCAGTGCCCATGTTGAGACGGGGTTAGAGTCTGGATATAGAGAGGGAGAGGTGATAGGACTTACGGGTGGAACTGCATGTAGACTGTGAGGGAAAGAAAGGAACCAGGGGTACCTCAGGGGGTGTGATTCTAAACCAGTATATAAAGCGTGGTGTTATTAAACAGTGATGGTGAAAACTTGAGCAGAGAGAAGCTTCAGGGTGGTGGGGTCAGAAATCAATAGTTCTTCTTTGCTCAAGTAAAGGCTGAACTGTTTAGAAACTTGTAAGTGAAATGGCAGGTAGACAGCTGGATACAGTCTACAGCTCTGGGGTGAGGTCTATGTGGAGATATACTTTGGAAGTCATCAGACTCTTCAAAGATTTTAAAACCATGAGACTAGATAAGACTCATCTTGACCCGTCAAGGTAGATTATGGGGCGGGGAGGGGTAGGAAACATGAAGCAATGTTTGTGGTTTTAGATTTTTAAAGCAAGGAATAATAAATTCCATTTTGGACACTTAAGGTGGGGATAAGTGATTAGTTGGCTTTTCTGTGGTGAATCACACTAGCCTCTAAAAGTATTTTAGTATTACCCTCTTGTACTGACCTAACCCTGTCATCTCATTTGGAGTCTCCCTATTTCATTTCTGCTACATCAGTAAGCTCTTTGAGAGCAAACGGTGTCTTCCCAATCCCCAGCAACTATTCAGAGAGAAGGCACTTTTATCTGTTATACCATGAGTATAAAAATCCAGTCTTAATGGTTAAGAATTGACTGTATAGTGGAGAGACTAGGAAGTAGCACAATAATGAGCTAGTTTCAAATCTCTGAGGATCTATTCTCAAAAGTTTCTTTCCTTCAAAATTAATCTTGGAATTCTTCCTATCAATAAATCGACTTTGAAAAATAATTGAGTTCCGCAGACATTTCCACTGAATCACATACATAACTAAGCAGTTAAATTCAAGTAATCACGGATGATTTCTAAACCATCTTGGTGGTTCTTTCCTAAAGCTCAAATATATCAACCTTTATTTCCTATCAAAGATGCTACTTATGTTCAGTACTCAATAAATATCTGAATACATAAAAGAGATCAAGATGCTTCAACATATAGACAGGAAATTTTTCTTTGTCCTTGTATCTTTTTTCTCAGTACTATATACTCAGCCCCTTGCACAGTGCATTGAATACAGTCAGTGCTTAATAAATATTTGTTGCATGCATTAATAAAAAAACAACAATGCACAGTTTTATGGGAAAGATGGCTCTTTTCTTCTTCTACATCAATTTACTTCCCATGTAACTTCTTTAAATGTTTTTCTCTTGATTATAAAATATTTACTCACTGTGGAAAATATAAATACAAAAAAATCTCTCTTCTGGGCTTCCCTGGTGGCGCAGCGGTTGAGAGTCCGCCTGCCGATGCAGGGGATATGGGTTCGTGCCCCGGTCCGGGAGGATCCCACATGCTACGGAGCAGCTGGGCCCGTGAGCCATGGCCGCTGAGCCTGCGCGTCCGGAGCCTGTGCTCCGCAACGGGAGAGGCCACAGCAGTGAGAGGCCCGCGTACCGAAAAAAAAAAAAAATCTCTCTTCTTAAGATGACTATTACTCTCTATTTATAACTCATGATTGTATTCATTCATTCATTTAACAAATATTTTTGACTTCCTGTTCTGTGCTAGGCTTTGCGGATACGGTGATGAATCAAACAGGTCAGGTTCCCTGATGTCACGCCAGTGGTATGCAATACCCTCACGTTCTACATGTAGAATATAAGTAGAGGTGTGTCACCACACAGAAGGTTTCAAAATCCAAGGATATCTCTTCCACTCTAATAGTTAACATTCCCCCAAAGTCTTAAAAATGACTATTTCAGTGATTAAATAAGGTTAGTATGTTTCTACACAGAATATGAAAGTATGTGAACTACACGTTCACATACCCACAAAGAACAAATAATTTTCTCAGGTGGAAAAGAACAAAAGCCTTAGTCTTTTTACCAAACAATGTCAAGGAGTGTACTTTGATGGTGGAAATGCTAATGTAGGACAGTTCTGAATAAGTTATTTTCAAACCTTTCTCTATAGGTTCATATATTACCTATTTATTCAAATGTAATAGAAAATAATCTCTCAAGTAAAAATAATTCAAATGTTTTAACTTCAGTGTTCTATTCCTCTATTTCCAACAGAGTTTCCATTAGCAGCACTGGGAAAAGCTTAGCATTTAGGAAGTCACTCCTGCCTGCCATACCCTGATTTTCAGCAGATCACCTATTCTCCTGATACCTAGGCACCTATTTGCATAGCAAGAGTGGAAGTTACTATTTATCCTCAGCGGTGTACATAATCACATTGACTTATTCGGTTTTACCCCAAAAGGACTCATTGAGTTTCACTTACCTCCAAAGTCTCATTGCCTTCGATGTCTGAAGTTTTGCCTCTTGCTGCCACTCTTTGCTCATGAGGTGTATCTCCTATGAAGCAAAAGAAAAAAATAAAACTTTACCATACCACTGTGGCCAAACTGTCTACTATTTATTTGAAATATCTTTCGCATGTTTCACACTGTGGAAGCAATTACTACTTCCTTTGTTACAAAGTAAACAAGTTAATATTTAAGAACAGTAATTTTATAAAGGTCACAGAATCATCCGTAAATACATAGGTATACAATCTAAACCAGAAATGTATCCTGCTTTATATAGGTTTACTCTGGAAAAATCAAGTGAATTTATATTTTGGAAATCAAGTCATACTTCAAATAAACTAGGAAAACTTATAATTTGAAGATAAAGCAAATTATTTTCAAACATTAAAAGTCTTGGGGCTTCCCTGGTGGCACAGTGGTTGAGAGTCCGCCTGCTGATGCAGGGGACACGGGTTCGTGCCCCGGTCCGGGAAGATCCCACATGCCGCGGAGCGGCTGGGCCCGTGAGCCATGGCCGCTGAGCCTGCACGTCCGGAGCCTGTGCTCCGCAACGGGAGAGGCCACAACAGTGAGAGGCCCGAGTACCGCAAAAAAAAAAAAGTCTTAAAAAAAAAAGTCTTTATAATATGAATAACTGTCCCTCAAATTTGTTTTTTAATAAGGTTTACTCTTTATAAGTGTTTACTTGTGTCTCTGTGGATTTGCCTCAGAGTAGCTATATATGTTTGCATGTAGTAATTAACCATATGTCAAACAATTTTTACAGCAGGAAAGAACAATGAACAAATTCATAAATTAGCATTCAGTTAATAGTTTGATTCCTAAAGGTGGTGCCTGGGAGGGTTATATTACTAATCAAAGCTGGTGACTAGGCTGCCTCTAAGGACATAGGACAGACAGAAATATAGTTAGGTAAGTACAGGCATAATTTAATGTATTAGTGTACTATTATAATTTATTAACTAATAATCTGTGATTAACATATGGTAGGTAAAGAAACAATCAGCGTACTTCTTAAAAGCATAATGAGAGGTTAATTTAGTAATCTGTAAACTGCTCTTCCCATAAAATTAAGCCAGCTCAGGAATGTCTACAACAGGGAAGATTACAAAATTCATATATAATGACTTGGCTGACACTAAAGGTTAGGAATTTGTTAACATAGGGAAGGTCACAGTCTTCATTGGAGGTAACAAAGTATGAAAGTCTGGGCTGGGCTTAACTTTTCCACAGTGAAACACGAAAGTTTAGTTTACCAGGCTGTAGTCAAGAAAGGGGCCTGCGAAAATTTTAAAGAATTAAATAAAATTCTGTTAAATTCTAAAACCATAAAGCAAGAATTAAGTTGGTAGTTTATTTACTTAAAAGTAAAGGAAATCCCCCAAATGTGTAAAACCCAAGCACATCATGCATATTCCAGCCTACAAGTTGTGTTCTCAGCTAAGTACAGCATTATTACTAGTGGGCAGAACCCAGCATATAGTAGGTGTTTCCATAAAAGCTGAGTAAATTAGTGAACTTCTATTTATAGTTTCTAGTCTATAAAACTGTGATAATACTAAATGGTATGTAATAAAAGTTTTATTTGAGCATATGGTTAGTGTTTTTCCTCTAAACCACATTTGTGAAACTTAAAAGGCAAATTTATTAAATACCATTATGATGTATTGTTATTAGTGATCTGTACTTGGAGCATAAGTTGTTAGATTTTAAAAACAGTTAATGGGGCTTCCCTGGTGGCGCAGTGCTTGAGAGTCCGCCTGCCGATGCAGGGGACACGGGTTCGTGCCCCGGTCCGGGAGGATCCCACATGCCGTGGAGCGGCTGGGCCCGTGAGCCATGGCCGCTGGGCCTGCGTGTCCGGAGGCTGTGCTCCGCAGCAGGAGAGGCCACAACAGTGAGAGGCCCGCGTACCGCAAAACAAACAAACAAACAAAAAACAGTTAATGATTTTTTAAAAGAATCATACTGAAACAAAAGCATTAGGAACTTTTCTTTTTTTTTTTTTTTGAGGCAGACTCTCAACCACTGCGCCACCAGGGAAGCCCAGGAACTTTTAAATTACATCTATAGGATAATAGAGGTAATAGTTGTTAAGTGAAAAATTATGTCAACTTACGTTCATGACCCAGGATGTCAAACAACAATTTTGGTTTTTTAAACTTATTGTTTAAACTGACCATTTATTTGCACATCAGGAAGAATCTTATTTTCAGAAATTCCCCCTTGTCTCTGAAAGTTAGGGATAAGCTAATCAACCCCCAGTTCACAGATGGCAAAACCAATGCACAAGTTGTTTAGTTTGCTTGGGTAAAGGCAATGAGACCACTGAGACCACAACAGCATGAGCAGACAAGGTAATGCAAGTCTCTGTATATTGAGGTCAGGTGTGTTTAATAACTCACATGCCTGAGGTTGATACGGAAGTATGTGACATCCAATATGAAAGGTCATTTACTCAAGAAAGATATTTTTTCACCTTTTAAAATGATTATTGGGCCATCCCCTAGCCATACAAACACTATTTGGCTGAAATCATTCAGCACAAAGTCTGTGCTTCCTTTGCCAGTTTCTAATTCCAAGGTGTGTATCTGTACCACACTTTCTCCATTTCTCCCTACTGCCTGAATAACCAAAAAGGTTATCAGCCAGTGCTCTTGACATCACACAACACATCTGCCTGGAAGCAACTGTACAATCACTATTTCCTGGAATGCCATATCTGGCGATGACTCAGGACAATAACTGATTACAAGGAAAAATGCCATCTGCTAGATGATTCTCTATAAACAAAGGCACAAACCGAAAACTACACAAACAACAAACAGAAAAGAACAGGTCACAGTGAAATATAACTTTTGAAGTTTTTTCCTCCCACTGAAGAATTATTTGATCATGGTAAAAATTCAATTATTTTCTCTAACTTGTTATAACCCACATGAAAGTTAGATACTTCAACAATAAAGATGCATGTGATGAACGTGAAATAAGGTACTTTAGTTTTCAGACATCAGTTAATTCTAACTTATGTGCTGTATAGATTCAAAAATTTCATTTGCAAGTCAGCTGTTTAAAAGGAAGGACAAAAACAACAAAATAGATGCAAACTATTACATGTAGAATGGATAAACAACAAGATTCTACTGCATAGCATAGGGAACTATATCCAATCTCCTGGGACAAACTATAATGGAAAAGAATACAAAAAAAGAATGTCTATATGTGTATAACTGAGTCACTTTGCTGTACAGCAGAGATTGGCATATTGTAAATCAACTATACTTCGATAAGAAAATGAAAAGAAACAATAAAAATGTTCACAGTATTTACATTTCATAATGTCTTGTTTATAACACCACAGTTGATTCTCACTACGGCGCAGCAAGACATCCTCCCCATTTCCCTCCTTCCACAGTTTACTGACGGCAGAGGTTCTCAGGGACTCACCTAAAGTCTCCCAGGTAGAAGTCAGCCATAGTGGGAGCAGAGCCCAGTCTCCTGACATATCTGGGGGGGACTGTGTGGTCCGGTGGAAGGTTCCAACGGATGGTGGCTGAGGTGGGGAGAATCGAGCTCCTAAACTGGGGATCAGTGCGAAGAAGAGCCCAGGGCTCCGAAACCTGGTCCAACCCCACGGGCCCCCCTAACACTTCTCTCTACTCCATTTTTCTTCCACAGGCTCCATGGGTTATCTGGTCTCTTCCCTTTCCGCTGATAATGCCAAATACTCCTGATCAGAACAAGCCTCTGTCCTTCCTTCTGGTCCTTCAAGGCACACACACGGTCCCCTTGATACTTTCCCATAAGTTTGAAAGGCTGGAAACAGTTTTATAAGAGGCAAAATCCCTCTTAAACTACAGCTATGCAATTTTCTTGGTTTAATGTGTAGTTTTTATTTAGAGTGAGTAAACGAGAAAGGCCGTATATGCATACTAATGAAGCTCTTTTAGAATTTAAAGGACTGAAGTGAAATTCATCTGTATTTTAGATTAGTGGGGCTACATAGTAAACATTTTAGGATTTGTGGGCCATATTGTCTCTGTTACAACTTCTTGACTCTATCATTGTAGCCAGGAGCAGCCATAGATAATATACAAACCAATGCATGTGGCTGTGTTCCAATAAAATTTTGTTTACAAAAACAAGTTGAGTCAGGCTGTAGTTTCCAGATCCCTGTTTTAGAGAATATATATATACTCCACCTTTTCTAGGATAAAAAGCTGAATTATGTTACATAAGGAAATGAGAAAGGGACATCATTAGCATATCATCATGATCCCATTCTACTGGGTGAATTTGGTCGAGGGAGAGGAGAAAAGTGATGAAGAGCGAGCACTAGGTACAAGGGAAAGTGAAAAGAGCAGAAACCCTCAGTGATGGGAGGGGGAACCTGAATGCCTGTTTGGATCACCGGAGGAGATTTGTTCTGGGGAGGGGTGGTGGGTGAGTAAGGGAGCACCTTCATTCCTTAGGTCTCCTTCAATGTGGAGGAAACTCTAGTAACATTCACCCCAGCCTCCGTCCACTCTCCAATCCCCGAGTTGGTGATCTGGAAAGACTCAGCTGCACATGGTTCTGCCCTCCCCCTTCTCGTGGGGAGGACCAGAGAGAACTGGGCTCTGTCTGCTCTGACCCTCCACAGGGGCCTCCTCCCACTTGGGGAAGCCTGCCCCAGCCTAGAAGATCCTGTAACAGGATGGAGTTCAATCTAATTCTGGGGTTCAGATTAGGAAACCCATCTGCTCCTTGATGGAAGCCACATTCTTCAACACTAGCTTTATAGGCAATAAAGATGAGAATTTGGTCTCCATCTGTTTTTTGGTTTTGTTTTTTTTTTTTTTACTAAATTGGCCAGATCTTATCTGGGTAAGAAGGGTGTTATTATTGGAACGCCCTAGAGTCCAACAAGACTGGGAATGGGCTGGTATGGACAGAATTGGAGCCTGCCTACATACGAAAAGCTGTGAATACAGAAATCTGTTTTCTTTCTTTTATTGGAGAGGAATTATCTAGAACTTCATATCTGAGAATGCAGTCTACAAAACA